TGCAAATCGACGATCAGATTCCGTTCCAAACCGCAGGGATCGGAGCATGTCGCTAACCAAAATCTATATATCTCTGCTTGGAATGGAGTTTGAAATGTTCTTGTGCATTCCTTCCACATCAGTCCTCATCTCTCTGAGCCAGTGACATCCATCAGTTTCAGTTAGTAAAGACTTTGGTGTGAATTTCTGACACAGCCCCAGACCAAGTGTAAAAATAAAGATATTCTCCCAGTTTGTTGCCAGTGAGAGCAGATCTGAATATATGAAACATGATACAGAGTGGCAATAAAACGGGTCTTCACATTTTGCCATGTTTTATAACAGAATTTTCTGTATATTTTGTCTTTATTTAGCTATAACTCATTTAATTAATTCTTTGTAGTACGTCTTCGTAAATTGAAAAGATAATGAAATATACTTTTCAAATATATCTTATCAAAAATTAACAGCAGAATAATATATTAACTGTTTGAAATGTAACCAATTGGATTTAGGAGGCATCTAATTCTATGCACTGTTTTCTGTAACTAAAACCTAGAGCATCACCTGACTGAATGGTCAGAGGGGATGGGAAAATGGTTTGAGCTCAAAACAGGGCAGAGATTTAAAGAACTGAAGGGTACATTGCTTAGTCTTTAATGAGAGCATGACTGAAGCGTTGGTCTTTGATGGTACAGAAGAAGTTGTATGTGAAGCCAACAGAAACAAACCTTGGTTTTAAATCGGACTTCAACTACTTTCCATGTAATTATTAAGGCCAAATTAAAAATAAGTGCCAAATTAAAGTCGGTGGTTACAGCAAATCACTATGAATCAATAATCCATGGATTTCTCTAAATAGGTCCGTAGGTCTTCACTGAACAACTGCCGTTGTCAGGCACTGCTGCTTTCGTTCTGCCAATATGGAAAAAAATTGCACACTTTTTTTTTTTAAGCTTTTAAGCTCAGAACTATTTCCTGTAAATTATATAATTATAAATCCTTGTTTTTAAAGTCTTTCAATGGTCTTGCCACTCATTACTGAATTTTTATGATCCTATGATCCCCTGTTCTCTACAAACTTGTAAAAAAAAATTAAAAGGCTCTTAAAAGCGTTTTTAATAGTTTTAATAGTATATTTGCCTTTATTTTTTTCACCTGCTTGTTTTTAGTGCTTTACAAGTAAAGCTTGATTGGAAAAACTTTAAAAGCCTGCAAAAGACTTCAGACTGGGGTAGAGGCTCATCCTCCAGCAAGAAATTATACATTAGCATACAACAAACAGGATGTTATAATGGCCTAGTCAAAGCACAGTCCTAAAACTGGTTTAGAATCTGTGGCAAGACTGAAAAATTTTGCTCACAGAATACCACCATCCAATCTTATTAAACTTTAGCTATTATTAAAAAATAAAAATAAAAAGTTGGAAGGGAGATACTCCTACACAGCTGCAGCTTTAATTGCAGCCAAATGAAAAGGACCAGGAGTTTCTCCAAAGAGGGCAATACATCCAAACCATTTCACACTTATGGTGCACTTTTGTTGCAATGAATCCCAATAAAACCAAACAGAGCTTGTCTACAAAATGTGGCGAAATGTTGAGTAAAGGATTGCACATTGATGGGTACAGAGCGATAACATGTGAAAACTGGTAAATGAATTATTAGATAAATGACAGAATGACATGAGTTAAAGTATGAGTATGTTACCTACATGAAGGCTGGAACTAGAGGTTGAGAGATTAATGATAGCCGAACTGGCGCGATCTGCAAACTACAAGAAAACATGCAAAGCAGACAAAAACACAAAGAGAACACACACACTTTGAGGTTAGGTGGTTAGGGATATACACAACATAAAAATTAGACTTTTAACATTTCCCTGACACATGTTTAACATCACTGAGCTGAGGTTTTCACCTAAAAACATATTTCACAATAGTGTTCTCTCATATACATTGGTCCCTGCCTGGACGTCCCCTGAGAAGATTTTCTAGAACTGCCACTGTTTGTAGCCCCTGACTGTGAACTTGGGTTGATATTTCATTAGATGTGTTGTTTTATTTGTAAAATTCTTTAAAGAAGATAAGACTATTTTCTGTTTGTAGGATGTAAAGTGTAGTCTCTATGATGTACTTTATTGCCCCTAAGTGAATTTGTACACTGTAATCTAACTTTCTATTTCATTTTTATGTTCATGGCTTCTTCATCACTGAGCGGCCTTTTAGCCTGAGTGAGTACAAGACTCATTTCAATGTGTATAAAGCGTTTCTGTTTTCAAATGGTATTTTATATTAAATCTGAGTTTGATACAACAAAACATATTCCTCTCCGGGACACAGAATCCTTCTACCTCCTGAACTTTAAATTAGCCATTTCTCATACTGTCTATATTTCTACATAATTGTCGGAAGAGCTAAATGTGGTTCCTGCAGGCATCAGGGGGCAGTAGGATGAAACAGTAGGTCCACAAATATCTTCCTCACATATTTCTTTGTGGATTTTCTTGGATTTGTTCACAATGTTTTAACACTAGAACTACTACGGAGGGGTCAATTGTCCTTTTTATCTAAAAGCCCTACAGGAGGGTCATTTGACCTTTGGACCTCCTGCGGACACTCCTTTTGTTGTGGAAATGTAGCTGTTAGCAGCTCATAGCTGTCGCTTGAGCCTGTGTGGGGAAGGGAACCCTAAGGCAAGCTTTTAGTATAGTTTTTAGTGGATTTTTCCGGGTCAATTGACCCCTCTCTGGTAGTTCAAGGTAGGCAGAAAAATCCTGGTAGTTCTAGTGTTAAACTGTACCGAAATGTTGTGAATTTACCTATAAGAGGTTAATAATTATAATGGAATGGAATCATAATACTGACTTTTTAAAGTGTTTGGAAAGGCCTGGTTATCTTGTGTATACATCACTGCATTATTTGGCAGTGAAATTGTAAATTTAGGTTAACTGAACCAAAACAGAAGTGTTGGCCTATTTGTGTTTAATTGAAGAGAGTTGACCTTAAACTTTATATAATTTACTTTGAAGTGGAAGAAAAGAGTGATTTATTCTACTATATTTAGGTTTTAGCAGTTGAAGTGTCCCCTTCAGTATCTGGATGAGTGTAAAACACACTGTACTGTATGTTGTTGAGAAAAGCTGCTACCTTATATATCTTGCAAATACATTCACCCATTGAGGATTCCAATAAGGTAGGAAATTGACAAATTCTAAAAATTTGGTTTGGGCAGCAAAAAAACAAAAAACAAAAAAGCTGATCTCTGTTTCCTTTTACTACATAGATTAAAAAAAAACAAATTTGTTTATTACTGAGGTTGCTGACCAGATGTTCCATTTTACAGCTGTTTCCAAATTACATATTTCTATATCCTCCTCGAGTTAGAATCAGCAAACATGAGAAACATTCAACAGGAACCTCAGATTTATTGTCTGGTTGAGTCCTTCTTATTGTGTCCACTTCGTTGTTTTGATCTTGGGCGCTTTAATTGGATGCGGGGTTTATGTCAGGGAGTGTACACTGATTTCGACACCCTGCTTAGACGCCATGGTCCCTCTGACACATAGAGAGTGATTTATGCTTCTTAGCTCATGCTGTGCATTTCTGGACCTCCCATGTTGGCACACATTAAAACCTGCTACTCCCACTTCAGCGCAATGAGACAAATGTGATTGAAGAGAATGGAAAATGTGCGGTTGGAGGCGTGAAAGAGTTCAGTGTTGAAACGTTCCTCACAATCCTTAAAATTTTTTCAGTATAAAGGCAAATTTTAACGCCCAGGAACTAAATCAAAGTTCATGCAAAGTGTACTAATGGTACGTAAAATCTAGTAGAACAGCGTTTTAAGCTGGATTGGAAATAAAGGTGTGGATAGAGAAATTTTAAACACCTAGGGAGGTCTTACCAATGATAAAGGGGACTGTAGAGAGATGACTGATTAAGTTACAATAAAGAATACACAAGGTCCCCTAGTAAGACACTAAACTGTTAATTTGTTGCATATGGTTCGGCACTATTCCTTTAACTGTGAAGGAAACTATTATAATAAAGAAAAACAAGATGCAGGCATACAAAAAATAATAGTGTGAACAACTGATGGATTTAAATATTTGCCTGGATAAAGACAAAGGTAAAGTCAATGCAAATATAAAGTAAGATATTAGAGTGGGTTTAATAGGTAAAAAAAGAGATTTAAAAAATCACCTAAAAAAAGGGAGGAAGGACGGAAAATTTCATAATGCAATGTTGTTTTTTGCTGTTGGCATTTATGTAAATATACAGTTGTGATAGCTTAGTATACATTTGATTGGCTTTTGGTTTACATCTATTTTGAAGTTATAGCCATTTTGGATTCTTTGGATTATGAAAGTAAGGTATGACTGTTCTGAGTGGCTGAAAATCTTTCAATATTTTTACTTTTCAATATTTGAAAATCTAAAATAAATGAATAACGTCGTGTGTGGAGTTTTTTAGGAGTTTCTCAAAAGGTTTTAAAGAGAATTTCTATTTTAGATTTGGTTTGCAAAGGTTTGAAGATCTCAAAATACCTTTATTGTTTATACCTTTCTGTTTCACATTACAATAATGTTTTTATATGAACATATTTGAGTGTATTCAAATTAATAAAAAATGTACCATTTTGGCTCTATGTCTTTGTGTCAGCCTTTCCACATTCATGGTTTCACATGTTACTGCCTGCTACATTGCTGCTGTTTTCTTAGGTTCATACTCCTCCTGTTATCCAACAATCAAAGAAGTTGTAAGTTGCTTTTTGTTAATATTGTTGATATTGTTGTTGTGATGGGAGTGAAAATATTGTATATGAAAACCAAAAAAATTTAAAACATTAGTAAGAGAACCCATTAGTTTGATGCCATGCGTTTAATCTGTTTGCATTAAAGAGGTAGTATCGTTTTTACTGGCTATACAAAGGCAAAGAGTTCCTTCCATTTAGATGATTTTACTCATATTGCTGTTATATTGAGTCATAAAAAGCAGCTTACTGACGGTGTGGTTTTACCTGGTCAGGAACAAGTGGCTCTCGATCATCAATGTCTATGAAGACTTCTCCAGTTGTTACCATAGGTGTTTCACCTTAATACAGAAATTTAAAAAACAGATAGATTTTACCATAAATCTGCAGTGTCAATTAACCAAAAGATCTTTTTCTTACGTCTCCATCCGCCCTCTTCTTCCTCCTGCTCTGTTTGCTCTTCCTCTTGTGTGCCTCGGTACTCCTCAAGTGACCGAATGGTGCATTGACCGACCACCGGCTTCCTCCCAAACTGACGGTTGTCAATGACTTTGATTACAATAGGCGGCATGTAAAGCTCCTCACGGGGAAGTCTCTGAGAGGAAGTGAAGAAGAGATTTTAAAGAAAACTTTTGTATGACAGAATGATAGCATAGTAAAAGAAACACAGCGTCATCTGCATAAAGCAGCATTTGCGGTTACTTACTGACATGAGTGCAATTACTTAATGTTCCAATTGGGACTAGTTATTTATGGGACACCTATTGGGTACCTATTGCTATCAACATTAATGGTTTTATCTGCGACAATGTATTTATAGCCTAAAATGATAGTATAGATAGCATTTGGTGAATTACCAGCAGAAAGTAAGCCATGATTAGCAGAGGACATGTTATTCTTATTTTCATCTTAAAGTTATAAATTACACTGAGTAAAAAGTCAAAGACTGGAATTGAATATATGACCTTTAAGAGTTGTGTTAAGAGGTATTAATAAAGAACGATAAAGAATCACTAAATTGAACACAATTTTAACTAAATGTTTTGAAGAGTTTATCACATAAGTTTTTGTTTCTTGGTAGGATATATCAAGATATATATTTTAGGGTTGAAGATTATTCCTTCTTATTTTATAACAGTAAGGACAAAATGGTACCCCCCATAAAGCGTTAAATCAAAACACTAAGTCACAGCACCTTCAAAGTGCCTGGAATACAGACTAAAGAGGTCTTACCCTTTGAGATACTTCTAAAGCTATATTTAAGTGAACCCAAATGTAGGCCATATAGTTCTTGTTAGTCAATTTAACGTAACCCATAAGCAAAGAGTAATGGCCCATCAAATAATACAGCGTATTAACCCAGGTATCCATACAGTACGCAATCTGTACCGTTTCTACAACCAGACCATAAGGTTGGTCAATATGTAAAAATTGTCCAACTGAGATTCGTCAGTGAAACAAATGTCGATGGACAATATATTAGTACAAGTGACTTTGTGGGCAAAGACAAGCAAACCCTCAGAGCATGTATTGTTAATCACCTGCCCACACTGCTGAAACCCAATAAGATAAACATGCTTGTTTTCTTTTCAAAATGTAAAAGTTTCGTATAATGGGAATAGTTTCCTCTTTTCCAGTTGTTCTGACTATGTTATTCACATCGGCGTCGCCAGACCCCATTTACTGGGGCACGTGCCCCAGTATAAATGAGCTGTGCCCCAGTATAAATCTCATGAATATTTGCAACAGTGATACATTTTTTTAATGCATCAATTTAGATAATTCCAACGGGAGGAGACGTATATTTCTACTCAAATGCGCAGCAAGTGTGTTGGTAACTCCAAATTGAGGATGTATTAGCGCCCCCACGTCAGCGCATGTCACTGCATGAACTGCAGGTAAACTAACACGCTGCTCTCGACTGAGTTGGATAGGACACTGTGCGGCCGCGACGTATTTTTAGTTCTGGTAACGTTTCTTACCAGTCAATTTTATTATTTTCCCAGTGAAACCACATGATTTATAGGCTACTAACTGAAAATGACTGCATTGGTTTGTAGATGGATATCAGGAAACTCCTCACACGAAGCAGAGACAGGGAAGCAGTAAAACAAGATGAGAGAGAGGGAGGTAAGGTCCTGTGATGAATTAGTGATTTAAGCTAACTAGTTACATTAGGGACGTTATAAGCAATATGATAGATATTTACATAATTATAAATTTACGTTTTTTAATGTTTGCTATAGAGAATGAGAATGAAGGTGCTGGAGTAGGAAAGGGAGGAGGAGGCGAGACTGACAGGCAAGAGACAGGTGAGAGACAGGAGAGACAGGACCATGAAGGTGATGAGGGAGCAACAACCAGCGTCCACAAACAAGAAGGGGACATTAGTGACTTAGGGGGAAAACATGATGGTCCTAAACAAGTGAAGTTGTCCCACTATCCCCAGCACAAATTTGGAGTAAAAAAAACGTTCATTTAATTAAAAAAGGTTTGAAAGCTTTTTATGGTTGAAAAAGAAATCCTTGTCATCAAGGATATGCAGTGTGTTTTCAACTTGCTTGATAACACCATGTTCCCCACGCTAACACAGGTCATCCAGATCTCCCTCACAATCAACAGCTGGAGTTGTGAAAGGTCATTCAGTGTGTTGAGAAAGCTCCACACTTGGCTGAGGTGCACAATGGGACAAGACAGGCTCCGTCATCTTGCTATTTTATCAGTTGAAAAGGAAGAACTTTCTAAGCTGAGTCACAGTCTAGTGATTGACCACTTTGCAAAAATGAAAAATAGGAGGTACACTTTAATGCTCAAAAAATAAGAGAAAGGGGGCGCTGGTGAGCAAGATATGGCGTAGGACGTACTTTCCTGAGCTCCTGCAAAATCCGTGTTAATTACATAAAAAATTAATATATAAACAGCATTAACTACGTTAATACCCGCCGAAAAACCGAAGAGAAAACTTTAGAATCACAAACAACTGGACAATCCGAGCATAATCGGCCCAAATGGCCGAAAAGCTGCAAAAGTATAGATACGGAAGCGATGCTAATGCTATAAGGCCTGCTAGGAGTATGAGACAGCGGACAACTGGCGAAGCTAACCCACCGACAACCACTGAGACGGTTGGCCCGAACATGAGTAACGAAGAAATGAAAGCAGATATCTTATCGTCACTGAGAGGCGAAATTGCTAAAGTGATAAGAGACGAACTTAAAGGCGCATTAGCAGAAGATTTTCAAGCTATAAGAGCCGAACTGCTAGCGGTCCGTTCCGAAATTGCTAACAGCTCAAAGATCATGCAAACTGAAGTGGATATTATAAAGACGGACATCTTGGACATAAAAGGTGGCCTATCAACGTGGTCAGATGAAGTTACTTCACTACAGTCAACTGTAACCAGCTTACAGAAGGAAATGGCCACGCTGAAAGATAAATGTGAAGATCTAGAGGGGAGAATGAGAAGGTCCAATATCCCCATAGCGGGCATTGAAGAACGCCCGGGCTCCAGCTCCCCACAAGCTGTGGCGAAAATCATCAAAGAAGTTCTGCAGATGGATCGAGATATAAAGGTGGACCGTTCACACCGCACACTCACCGGGAAAGGACCCAGAGACCGGGAGACACCAAGAGTCATCATCGCTAAATTACATCATGACGGAGACGCGGCGGAGATTCTGAGGAGAGCCCGAGACAGAGCTCCGCTTTCCTACAATGGACATCGTGTCAGCTTCTTCCCCGATTACACGGCCAGCGTAGCCAAAGCAAGAGCCACCTTCACGGAGGTACGGAAGGCGCTACGGGGTAATAAAGAAGTCCGCTACGGCCTCCTCTACCCGGCCCGATTTCGGATCACATACCATAATGAAGAAAAGGAGTTCCTCGACCCTAAAATGGCTATGGAATATGTCCGGAACAATATTACCCCAATAGAGCAAGCCGAATAAAGGTACCGTGAGCCTATACAGACAATAATATTAGAAAATATATCCATTGTTGTGACTATCTCTCAAACTGCTCTCTTTTATGATGATAAATCTATATTCTTTAACAATATGAGCAAATTTGCTGTTTTACTTCCAGATTCTTGTTTTTTTTTAGGATTTGCAGGAGCTTGTGCGGTATATTTGAAGCTTTTATAGCTAACTTGCTTTCTCCATTACGACTTTGGCTTTTTTTTTTTTTTTCTCTCATCTTATTTTCATATCTAAGCGCACCCCTGCACACAGACTCTACCTTGACTGTGCACTTTAGCAGCTCATTTTAGCTGCTGGGGACTATGTCCCAAGTATATAAACATTGTATCTACCTGTTCTATGTTCTCTTAGTTCTGTTCCCTCTGTCCCCCAGGGTTACCGTTGTCAAAAAATTATATTATCCCTCTCTGTTTGGTTCTGCGCACACTGTGTATATGTCCCTTGGACCCCACACAGACAAGACAGTGTTTTGCATAAAGGACTTATGGCCATTTCAGATATATTCCGAGATGTTCAAACATAGATCACATAGAGCTAATGGATGACCCACTTAAAATTGTAACTTACAATGTAAAGGGACTCAATAATCCAGTCAAAAGAAAGAAAATATTGACTCAAATAAAACAAATTAATTGTCACATTGCTTTTCTCCAAGAAACCCACCTATCTGATACAGAGCATGAAAAATTAAAAAAATCTTGGGCAGACAAGGCTTTCTATTCATCCCACCAGTCAGGAAAAAAGAAAGGTGTTGTCATACTTATGCACCGACAGATTAATTTCACACAAACGTTGTTACATAGAGATACAGAGGGAAGATACGTGTTAGTTAATGGTACAATTGATGGCATAGAAGTATCGCTTGTAAATGTATATGCACCCAACTTGGATGCACCAGATTTCATAAAGTCACTGTTTAAGGTAATATTACAGCACAGCACCGGGCTGTTGTTGATGGGTGGGGACTTCAATTGTATTTTGTCACAAATATTGGACAGATCACCCACACCAAGAACTCCACTCTCTAGAATGAGTAGGATGCTCAAATATCAGATCATAGAGACAGGTATTGTAGATGTATGGAGGAGCAGGTTTCCCAGAATTAAAGACTTTACTTTCTACTCAAGTAGTCATGCATCCTACTCTAGGATCGACTATTTTTTTACCCCAAAGTCAGAACTGCATAGAATAGTAGATATTGAAATATTACCTATTACTATTTCTGACCATGCACCTGTCTTATTAAAATGGGATATAGGACATAGGTTAACATCTAAACAATGGAGACTTAACACGTCCCTACTCAATGACAAAGTATTCATCACATCCATTACAGCGGAGCTCAAGATGTACCTAGAAACTAATACATCTACAGAAACAACACCTCTGATATTATGGGACTGTGCCAAAGCATTCCTTCGAGGCCGCATAATTTCCTTCACATCTGCAAGGAAAAAACAAAAGGAGGCTAAACAAAAAGATTTGGAGGATAGAATCAAAGATTTGGAGTTTAAACATAAGAGATACGCTTCAGGTAAAATCCTGAAGGAATTAAATGCAACCCGCAGACAACTAAACAGTCTATTGTTAGATAAAGTAGAAGGTAACTTGAGGTTTA